GGAACAGCAGTGGTACCAGGTGTGCCCCAGGCAAGGCAGTGAGTCAAGGCACCAGCAAGAGGAAGGGCGTGCACAGAGCCCTTTTCACAGCCCAAGGTGCTCACACCATCACTCACAAAGCCAGGGAACACACCCCATGCCCTCCAGTCTCTCCTCTCAGGTTCCACTGTCACGTGTGCTAAACCCTCTGCTGAATCAGAGCCACCAATTAAAAAGGGCTGTTGSCTCCCCAACACCTTCAGGGGCTTCTGTCAGGAAACTCATGCTAGGCCTCCAACAACCCACTGATCCACAGACTCCCTTCAACACATCAGGGTAAGGGGTCTGCTGCTTTTCCTCTGCTGGGCCTGCATCAACTCCAAACAAGCCTTCTAGCCTTTCCTGAAATAAACATTATACAGTATTTTGAGAAAGTAGAGCTCTTCAGGACAGCAGTTTTGATGAATTAACATTGCTTCTCAAAAAGCATAGGATTTCCTGAAGGATCCTTCCTCCCTCTGTCATACGCAGCAAGGAGAGACTGATCTTCTTTTTACCAGCAAATTACAGTTTGGGTTTATACCTAATTTGGGCAATAATTACATCTTGATTAAGTTATTTCTTAATCACACTAATAAGGTATTACTGTCTCCTTCTCCTCTGTCACTCCAAGGGTCATTTCCTCCCTCCACACGTACCCCTTTCACTGACTAAGCCAGTTTCTCTAATCCTTTAAGCCACCGTCAAACAATGAAGCTTTTACGTCTGCAAGGTTATTCCACAAACCCTTCAAGGAAAGGGTCTCCTAGATTCCCAGCCTAAATGGACTCTTTTTTTTTTTTTTTTTTTTTTTTTTTTTTTAGTTCTTTTTTTTTTTTTCAGCTATGCCCAATAATAATTTTAGGCATTTATGCAATGATTGCTGCACTCTCTAATCCCTTTCCAGTTTGCCTGTACTATTTGGTACTATCACAAACCAACACAATCCAAACACAAACTCGCCAAGGCCAACACAGGATTGCTGCCTCCTGCCTCAGCTGTCAGCACCTTTTACTGCTGCATCAGAGGAGAAAGTAATCAAACAAYCAATACAAAACCCCAGTATCCGCTTTTCTACCACACTAACTAATGTCTTCTCAGTAATTATTTATTAATTGCYTTATTATCACTGTCTGCAGAAACATGCTCAGGTTATTCAAGGGCTGGAGCAGCACAAATCCTTTCAGAYGCAGAGCAGAAATTTCTCTCCTTTACCCACTGCCTTGCCCAAGGTAGGACATGCTCAGCTTGCAGCTTTATTTGAGAGTGATCCGTTGAACATGATCCAGCACGCAAACCCAGTCAGGACAAAGCCTAAGAGAGGAGTATCCCCGTTTTCAGATCTGGGAACACAGCCCCAAGCTGAGCTTCAGTTGTGACTCTTGTGGGGTTACTAACACCTACTATTTATGAATARAATGAAAAGACCAAGCGTATCAAGAAACTTTCCTACTTGGCTCTTTTCAGGCCACTACTTCATTCCAGTTTGACTCTGGAGCAGCCCCCAGTTCAGAAACACTGCAGAAAGATTCTGTAAATAGGGCTGGTGCCACAATTTCAGCCCCAGGGATACAGAACTGGCTTCACAACACAAACTGTGAATGAATAGGGCTTCTTGTGTGACTGCAGAATAATGCTTTATGTCTGTCCTATCTCTGCAAGATGACATGAATCACTTTCCAAAGGAAAAAATTATTGCAGATACCAATTATATAAAAGGTTATTCTATAAGACACACAAGAAATTCTATTCATGCAAAGATTATGCAGGAGTTAAATAACTGAACAATGACCATCTGTTTGGATGGGGACTCTCAGCCAGCACTTGACTGACTTGGATTTGAAGTCCAGAAAGCTACAGGACAGGGYTCCAATGCCTCTGAAAGTCTCTAACTCAAGAGAAGGCTTCTCAAACCCTTATCTACAGCACTAGCAACAGGAGCTAGAAACCACCATAATTTGCTGTGGAGTAAGCCAGCCTTCCTGCAGCAGGACATGGCCTTGGCATCACAGTGGAATGGCTCACTTCTAGTGGAAGATGYGGTAGCACCAACCCTCCAGTTCAGTACTCTTGCAAAACACAGAACACAGGTTTGCCATTTGGACAGTCACCAGTATGGCTTCAGGTGTATCACCCTGCCTGTGTCATGAGGTGTCAGGTCATACCCCCTTAGAGGGGTTTGTGRTACCAAAAAGCAGCATTTAACTGTATCCTCTTATTTARAAWTTATTGATTTTTGTTTRTAGTTTAYTGAGCAAAGCAGATTTGGGAGCAATTGATATTGCTTACAGAAGATAAAAGCAGGCAAACAAAGCAGTGTATTCTTTCAAAGAAATTTTTCCAACAAATCCAGTTCTGCTGAATTAAGAGGAAATTTTACAACCAGACGTTTAATAAATTATTTTGGACCCCATCACAAAGGAACTGATTAACAATTCACCATCACTTGCACAATTTATTACTTTCCAAAATGAACAGAAGAYTAAAAAGACTAACTTTTCTTCCTATACTTAAGTTAAGAAGAAAAAATTCTGAGTTGCTCCTTTGTCCTCTATTTCTTATATATTTACAGCTTATAATATTTTGATGTGCTTAATGGCAACAGAACTATTTTGTATGTAGGACTTMGGTGGAAAATACAGCTTTTCAGACCTTGGGACCAGCAGAAATTCAGTGCATGTCCAGGCATTTCAGGGACAGTAAAAGAAACCACTCTCAATTGCATCTGTAAAGTTTGGGGATTAGAGGGACTTATACCACTGACACTGGCAAGGGAATCAGAACCTGTAGAACCTTTATTTCTAGGAGGTTTTGGYTCCAAGCTATTTCATGTTTTAGAAACTGCAGTAAACTGTGATGGCTACAAATCCCCACTTGCCTCATAACCCTGGTTAGAGGATCCGACCCACTCAAACTGAGCACTTCTATTTGAAGCAGAGGACACTTCCTCATATCCTCAAGTG